AATAATCGCGGAAATTATTAGGTGTATGACATGGAAGTAGGTGGACGGGACACGACTTTTAAGGGTCCTGTTCATCATCCCCCAAAGCAGATGCAGAAGAAAAAAGGCGCTGCCGTGGACCACACTGTAATTGTGCTGACGTTTCCACAAGGGAGAGGTCGCAGCCAATCCGCGGACAGCACGAAGGTTAGAACTCGTGCGTCAGCCGTCGATACAATACGAGACGGGTGGCGCGGCATTACAGTTATCGGCAAGCAGGAACACACAACTCACCACTCTGATGATGGAAAATAGTACATTTCCGAAACGCCAGCAAAATTACAATGTGGTCCATGACAGCGCCTTGTTTTCTTCTTCATCTGCTTTGGGGACGATGAACGGGATAATTTATCTGGACCTCGTATCTTCACCTATGTGCACATATATTTTCAAATAGGTGTTCTGGCAGACGTGAATCATTTATCTGACTCGATTGTGGAAAACTAGACGGCCTCAGTGGGATTCGTAGCCACGACGGCCTAAGTGCAGCCACCAATTTAAATACTTGAGTCAAATCAAATTTAGGTCACTTTATCCCCCCGTCTAGAATCCGCAAATATTGACACAATAAGCCGACTTATCAAGCAGGATTTCGTGAGTAATCCATCTAAGATCCATTAGATTACTATTAGACTATCATAATTAATAGTTTTTTGGCAGATTTAAATAATTCAGTTGAACCAATTGCGAAAACCTCAGCCTCCTCGGTGGGATGCGAACCCACGAGAGCCATGACTAGGCTTGAGTACAGCCAAAGTCCTAAGCACCTCAGCTAAGAAACTCCGACAGGGAGTCGTGAGTTCAATCATTCTTAGCGAAATAATCCGCTGGTCACAGAATCAGCGTGAGTGCAAAATGACGGTACGTTTTTTAGCGTGGGTGTGATGAATTTGATTCTAAGCGATTCTGTCACCCGACGTCAGCCGAAAATGACACCATACTGTGCTCAAGGTGCATCGAAGAATTGTAGCTCAATTCTAAAAAAACACGGCTCACATGATCCAGAGTTGCAGAATCCTTTCCGGCGTCCTCACTTGTCTTGCACGTATCATCAGATAGGGTTGCCTGATTAGGGATCTCGTGCGACTCAGCTGCCCCCGGTGTTACCTTTTTTCTAGACCCAGGCTTTTCAATTAACTGCTCCTCCTCCTTCTTTGCATCAGTAGGAAGCTTAGGTCCGACAGGTTGCGATTCCTTCAGATCACGCTCGGCAGTAGTAACAGCAGCCGACGAAGGCTGAACTTCTGACACGTTAGCGGAATTAAGGTCCGATTCCGATCCCGCGGAGGTCGGGGTAGAGTGCG